CTCTCCCCCCCCCCCATGCTATCCACAACCGGCATCGTTCCCTCTCCTGCGATCCATGTTTTAATTGTTGTGACTCCTGACAATGTTATGTTTGCAAACTTCCCGACATCCACAACAGCAGCATCCACAAAACAAGATCCGTTGGTCATCCAAACACAACATGCACACTTTCAATGCAAAAAACTGCTCTTGCTTTTGTCGTGACTATTTGCTCTTTGCAAACTTCCCGACATTCCAGAACACCGACATCCACAACGAAAAACCCGTTGGTCGCCCAAATACATGCGCAACAAGTGTAGCCGCAAGTGAAGCTGCAGCGGGTCTACTTGTTGTCATAAAACGAGTACAGGGTTCACCCCAACACCAAGAAGCAATAACTCTTTCAACTACCTTGAAGAAACAACGTCTGAGTCTCCCTCTTCTTCCTTCTTCCATACCAGCCTTCAACCTTGACGAGTCATCACCTATTAACTCACCATCTACTATTAAACTTCTATTCCCTAGAAGGGCTAGCCCTACTCCAAGTACCTTAGCCCAGTAACCTGCATCTGCAGGTAACGCAAATGCATGTCTCTCCTTGTAGTCAGCGGAGTCAAGGTGTACCTTCCTTCAGTCAACGGTGAAGCAGCGTAGCGGCCTTCCACCAATGTTTCTCTAACTTCACCGCCTGGGCGTATATGTTGAACAGCCAGCCAGTCGGCTGGCCTCTGGGCCAGGCCTGTTTTAGGAATGGGTTCAGGTAGAGCTTTCCTTGGGCTGGTACCGCTGCATCTATACGTTTTCTCGGCAGGGTACAGAAGTACCGGATAGGTTTGGTACCGTACATTATTTTTCGGGCCTATCCAATGACAGCCAAATCCTTTTTAACACAGTATTTATGTCCCAGTCGAGAAAACTCCTGAAATACCCTCGAGAAGCCAAGCAAAAACGTTCAAAATAACAAATTTGAAAACACGTAGAGATTTGCAGATTTTATAGCATTGTGCAACTCGCTGTTGTTGCAAAACTGTGGGTTCTTGCACTCTCACTGGCCCAAATGCAAACCCCTCTAAGATAATTGTGTCCTAACAGTCCTATGCTTGATTGGTATGCTTTACTGGTTTGTTTCCGCTTGACATTGTAGGACTGTATGAGTCCTTATAACTAATAAGTGTCTTCCAATCCCACCAGACATCATCGATCCTAGAATCATCTGGAATGGCATGGCGATGCTACCGTGGTTTGGTTGTTAGCAACGTCGTACTGCTTTAGGAAGCTACCTACCTCGGTCCTGAGTCACCTGCCCCACCATTGCTATGGTCATGCTTATAGAGCATGAGCTGGTTGTAAAGATGGCCGGCGTTTTTAAGCTTAGCACAGATATACCTGGGTCCAGGACTATGTCCAAGAAAGCCCTTCTGCTTCCCAGCATTACCCCTGTGCCACACTAGCCTCTGAACATTTTGCTGGCCACAGCTATATAGCATGCAGACAATCAATCTGTTGTTGAATGATCAAGCTTGCTTCGGTGGGGAAATCATGTGTGTTTTTTCCTTTGCATGGTTTTGCAATTCTTGAGATGACAGAGTGGTGCTGACGTTGGAATTGTCTCGTTTGTTGTAATGGTGTACTCAATGCTCCTGGTGTGGATCTCTATGTGTGGGCGGTATCTCATCACTACTGTGCATATGCTCAAATTGGAAATTAAACAGTCCGCGCTGACAAGTGAAGAATCAGGTACTCTGTCTTCCCTACCATTGATCCCATCATCTCGATCTCCCTGCTTGTCTCCTTTACAGCTTGTTTCTCTGCCTGAAGTTCTTACCCCAGTAAGGTCAATGGAACGCAGTGAGGGAAATCAATTCGATTTAGCAGCTGCTTCTCCCTCCTCTTTACTGTCAGAGTCGGAATCATGGCTCGTTGCAGTTATGTACATTGCACATGATAGGGATTGTTTGGCAATCATACCACCATTTTGGCATTCACGGCATTGCACAGTGATTGAGTCCTTGGTTGCATGATTCTTTTCCAGACGACGGTCTTTGAAGTACTCATGTTTCCTGCCCCGAGTTTGGCTCAAGCTGTGTCCCAGATACCCTGAGCCACAAAGGTGAAACCCTTATGTACCCCATAATCTCTTTGCTTGGACATAGAAGTTGCAAATGCATTCACTAATGCATCCTGTCCAGAGTAGATGGCACCTCTACAATGTACTGTGCAGTGCAGGGTGCTCTGTGCAGCCTGCTTCTTTTTTTTTACTTTTTTTTTTTAATAAAAAAACAGGACCTTACGGTCCTGGCTCCCTTTCCATTCTGGGGAGCATCAGTCCGGTTCCTATTCCACCGGCAAGTCTGAAAAACATTACAACAGTAACGCACTCACACGCTTCCTTCCGTCTGGCCGAAGGACCTCTGAACAGCATTGATCACTCCAACGTAGTGGAGGATTGACTGTCAGCTTGCCCTGCTTTTCTCTTTCCTCTCAGGTCCGTTAGCTAACCTGCCAGATCTATCGTGAAAAACTAGAAAGAGCTAATCGGCTACTCAAGCTGACTCTTGTGACCCCTCCTTGAAAACCTGTCCGTACCCTAAACCCTAAAACCTCCTTTTGAAGTTTTGCAAGGAATCCTCCGGACCATCTTAGCTCATCAGCTCATAAGGCCTGCAGCGGGACTTATTCATTTGGTACCTGGAGAATTTGTCTTTTTCCTAGGCTGTACTCCGGGCCGCCTGGACGGTCGTTCCGCCCGGTTGGCCACCAGG